GAGGGATACCCCCCCCACCCCGAGTGCTCGAATTTTGTGCACCGGGCCTCTAATCCTCTAATATATATGTATTTTTTCCCCCTAACTCAGAATCCCAGCTATTTTATCTATTCTGTTCTTCCATTAGCCCACCCAATCTATAGTAGACACAAAAGTTTCTAAGAAAATCTAGTGTATGTTCTATAATAAGTTTCCCTCCTTTACCGGTTGTTCAGTCCACTTTTGCTACTATTTCTGAGAAGCATCAAGGCACAATGAAATAATGTTGGACTGGGACACATGAGACTTAGAAACTAGTCCAAACTCTAACAGTGACTCACCATATACAGTATATAATACATATAATACTTTCCCATTGTGGACTTCAGTTCCTCTTCTGAATAAAATTCAGGTATTGAACTAGATTCATATTTCCAAAAAATGAAAATATTCAAATACTAATGAACAAAATGCTTGCCATTTCAGTTATGCCATCTGTACTTTTACACAATCTACTCACTTTTTTAGTTAACATTGTAATAAGCAATAAAAATTACAAAATAATGGTTTGATGGGCTGGTTATATTTTTAACTCATTAAAAAACTTCTAAAATAAAGTGATGCATGTGCTACCTGAAATCACTCATACCCCAGTGATATATGTGTGTGTGTGTGTGCGCGCACACACACACACACATATATCACTGGGGTATGAGTGATTTCAGGTAGCACATGCATCACTTTATTTTAGAAGTTTTTTAATGAGTTAAAAATATAACCAGCCCATCAAACCATTATTTTGTAATTTTTATTGCTTATTACAATGTTAACTAAAAAAGTGAGTAGATTGTGTAAAAGTACAGATGGCATAACTGAAATGGCAAGCATTTTGTTCATTAGTATTTGAATATTTTCATTTTTTGGAAATATGAATCTAGTTCAATACCTGAATTTTATTCAGAAGAGGAACTGAAGTCCACAATGGGAAAGTATTATATGTATTATATACTGTATATGGTGAGTCACTGTTAGAGTTTGGACTAGTTTCTAAGTCTCATGTGTCCCAGTCCAACATTATTTCATTGTGCCTTGATGCTTCTCAGAAATAGTAGCAAAAGTGGACTGAACAACCGGTAAAGGAGGGAAACTTATTATAGAACATACACTAGATTTTCTTAGAAACTTTTGTGTCTACTATAGATTGGGTGGGCTAATGGAAGAACAGAATAGATAAAATAGCTGGGATTCTGAGTTAGGGGGAAAAATACATATATATTAGAGGATTAGAGGCCCGGTGCACAAAATTCGAGCACTCGGGGTGGGGGGGGTATCCCTCAGCCCAGCCTGCGCCCTCGCAGTCCAGGAGCCCTCTGGGGATCCTTAGCACTGCCATGGAGGCGGGAGAGGCTCCCGCCACTGCTGTGCTCGCCAGGCCAGCCATAAGCCCGGCTTCTGGCTGAGCGGCGCTCCCCTGTGGGAGCACACTGACCACCAGGGGGCAGCTCCTGCATTGAGCGTCTACCCCCTGGTGGTCAGTGCACATCATAGCGACCAGTCGTTCTGCCATTGGTCGATTTGCATATTAGCCTTTTATTATATAGGATATACAAAATGCAAATACATTTTATTTTTTATGCCTATCATTATTTCAGTTCCCTAATTTATAATAGTATGATTACCAAAAGGGCAAATATGAAAAGAGCTAGAAATAATAAGCTGACTTGGATTGACATCATTAATTCTTCAGGTTTCTCTGTACTTTAGAGCTGGAGTTGAAGGAGTACTGGAGAAATCATTAATGTAGAATTTTATTTATATGTAATACATTCTTAAGGACTAGCTCTGAATTAACACATTTTTCTTTTTCAGAGTCCTTATAGGACAGTTCTTCGAGATAATGCAATACCAACAATATTTGATCTTACCAGTCATTTGAACAATCCACATAGTAGACACAGAAAACGAATAAAAGAATTGGTATGTCAATATGCTTTCAGCTTTCCCAATCCCCGGTATACTATGAAATCAAATAGATATATTCATGTTAAAATTGAACTAAGTTACTCTCTATTTCAAAGGTACCTATACAGGAAATGAATGCTATGGTTATTATTGAAGTAGCCAGGATGTAAAATGATAACTTTGTTACAGTATTTAAATTGGAAAATGTCTCTCAAATTTAGCCAATTGATACTCATTGGCTTGGGCCAAAGTGTGCTGTTGATTACAGGCTACTATCTCCTTTCCTTTTTATGAAGAAAAACAAAACATTACCTTTTCTTTTATAGTAAGAAAAGTGGAACTGAGGTATATTTCCAGAATTTAGCACATATGGATACAGAAAGGGAAAGTTTAAAAGTTAAGACATGGATAGTTTTACCTAGAGATAGGATTCTATTGCTATTAAGTACTGACAGGATTTAGAAAAAGCTTTTCAATCTCTGTATATGGCATCATTTATGTGTGTTTTTATATTCCTTTGATATCCTTTAGATCAGGGGTCCTCAAACTTTTTAAACAGGGGGCCAGTTCACTGTCCCTCAGACCGTTGGAGGGCCGAACTATAGTTTAAAAAAAACAACTATGAACAAATTCCTATGCACACTGCACATACCTTATTTTGAAGTAAAAAAACAAAATGGGAACAAATACAATATTTGTATTTGCATGTGGCCCGCGGGCCGTAGTTTGAGGACCCCTGCTTTAGATGATTGAAACCTACCTGCTCTTTGTTAACCTTAGGCCAACAAAATTAAATTACTCAGACTCCTCAGTCCATGGCTTTCTCTTATCATTACCACTAATAAGACACTTATTTTGTTTATTTTTCCTTCTTCCTGTATTACCCCATTCCTACCCTCCCTGTAGGTATCCATGCTAGTGTCTTTAATATATGTCATTTCACTCTACCAATTATGTGCTTTCTTTAAGACAACATTTATATATAATTTCCTTCATGTTTACCTTTCATATTTAGATTTTTAATCCATTTGGAGTTGTATGTATTGTGTGCAGTAGAAATCTAATTTTATTTTTCTTCTTATAGAGAAGACCAGTTTTCCCAGCATGCTCTATTAATCCATCCTTTCTTCTATTGGTATAACCTGCCACCTCTGTCATATACAAATTCACATATATGCAGGGCTGTTTCTGGAGCTCCATTCTGTCCTGTTGGAATTTTTTGTTGTTGTTGTTAATCCTCACCCGAGAATATTTTTTTCATTGATTTTTTAGAGAGAGTCGAAGGGAGAGGGGAGAGGGAGAAACAGAGAGGGAAACATCAATGTGAGAGAGATACATCGATAGGTTTCGTCCAGCATGCACCCCGACCGGGGCCAGGAATCAAGCCTGAAACCGAGGTACATGCCCTTGACCGGAATAGGACTCGAGATCCTCAGTCTGCAGGCCCCGCTCTAACCACTGAGCAACCAGCTAAGGCATTGTTGCAGTTTCATAAAAGAAAACATGTACATTTTTCTTTAGATTACTTTCTAAATACATTATGGTTTTTGGTATTGTTTATGTATTCTAGATGAGATTGTTTCCAGCAGTTTTGAAGGCTCTTTAATATTAATCCTGTAACACCTATGGGCACTTTCTGCTGGAAAAGAAGCCCCTTGCTGGTCTGGCCTTTGGGAAGGGTTCCCCCCTCAGGCGGGAATCAGAAAGTAAGACATTGCCCAGCTGGCATGGCTCTGATTGAGCATCAACCTATGAACCAGGAGGTCATGGTTCGATTCCTGGTCAGGGCACATGCCTGGGTTGCAGGCTCAATCCCCAGTAGTGGGTATACAGGAGGCAGCCAATCCATGATTCTCTCTGATCGTTGATGTTTCTGTCTATCTCTCCCTCTCCCTTTCCTCCCTGAAATCAATTTTATATATATATTATATGTTATTAAATGTTATCAAGAATCTGTGAGATTTGTAAAAAAAAGAAAAAAAAAGTTAATCCTATTAGTATGCCGGGTTTTCTATGTAGTTGATTATATTAGCTACAAACAAGGACAATCTACAAATAAGGACAAATTTGCCTTTTCTTCCAATTCTTTTTCACCATCCTACTGTTTGTGTCCATAGGTCATGCATATATGCATATGTTCTTTGATTAATCTCTCTCCCACCCCCACCCCACTTCCCTCTGAGATTTGAGAGTCTGTTCCATGTTTCTATGCCTCTGGTTCTATTTTATTCATCAGTTTATTTTGTTCATTAGATTCCTTATTTGTTTATTTTTAGAATCAACTGCTGATAATTATGTTTTTATTGCCATTTTATTGTTTATATTTTTAATCTTTTTTTCCTTCTTCTTCTTAAAGAATACCCTTCAACATTTCATATAATACTGGTTTGGTGGGGATAAACTCCTTTAGCTTTTTCTTGTGTGTGAAGCTCTTTATCTGACCTTCAGTTCTAAATGATAGCTTTGCTGGGAAGAGTAATCTTGGTTATAGGTCCTTGCTATTCATCACTTTGAATATTGCTTGCCACTCCCTTCTTACTTGCATAGTTTCTATTGAGAAGTCAGCTGACAGTTATATGAGAGCTCCCTTGTAGGTAGGTAACTGCTTTTCTATCACTACTTTTAAGATCCTCTCTTTGTCTTTAATTCCTGGCATTTTAATTACGTGATGTCTTGGTGTGGACCTCTTTGGGTTCATCTTGTTTGGAACTCTTTATGCTTCCTGGACTTGTAAGTTTATTTCTCCACCAGGTAGGGGGAGTTTTCTGTCATTATTTCTTCAAATGGGTTTTCAATATCTTGCTCTCTTTCTTCTCCTTCTGGCACCCCCATGATGTGAATGTTGGTATGCTTAAAGTTGTCCCAGAGGTTCCTTATACTATCTTCATATTTTTGGATTCTCCCCCCCCCCCTTCTTTTGATTGGGTGTTTTTTGCTTCCTCATTTTCCAAATCGTTGATTTGATTCTCGGAATCCTCTACTGTAGAATCCCTGTAAATTATTCTTTATTTCAGTTATTGTATGCTTAATTTCTGACTGGTCCTTTTTATGTCTTTGAAATTCTCACTGAGATCCTTGAAATTCTCATTAAGTCCCATGAAGCTCTCATTAAGATCTTTGAGCACCTTTATAACCATTGTTTTGAACTCTGTACCTAGTAGTTTGCTTGCTTCCATTTTATTTAGTTCTTTTTTTCTGGAGATTATTTCTTTTCTTTCATTTGTGACATGTTTCTTTGTCTCCACATTTTGGCTGCTTCCCTGTGTTTGTTTCTATATATTAGGTAGAGCTGCTATGTCTCCTGGAATTGGTAGAGTGGCCTTGTGTAGTAGGTGTCCTGTAGGGCCCAGTGGCTCAGCCTCCCCAGTCACCAAAGCTGGACAGTCTAGGTACACCCCTGTGTGGGCTGTGTACTCTGTCTTGTAGTTGAGCCTTGATTACTGTTGGTGTCACTGGGAGGAATTGACCCCCAGGCCATTTGGCTGTGAGGACCAGCTGTGACTACAGTGGAAGAGCTGCTGTGCAGGAGACATCTCTATGGAGTAGGATTTGCTTTAGTGTGGCTTTGGTGCTCACTGAGTCTGCTCCTTGAGTTTGTTGCTCGTGGATGTGTAGAGTTGTAATCTGGTATGGTCTGAAGCTGTCCACCTGGTGCACTGGCTCTGGGGCCCCCCTGGAGGTGCAAAGTCAGCCACTGCCTGAGCCCTGCTTTCGGTTACCTGTCAGGAGCTATAGAGCAATCTGCAGATGGCTGCTACTTACCTTGGGCTTAGAAGTGCCCAGGAAAGGCCAAGCTGTGAAACAAGGCAAGCTGCTGCTAGTGCCAGGCCTGGCACCTCTTACTGAGAGGATTGGGGGACTCTATGCCAGCAGCTGCTTGTTTGAGAGATTTTAGGAAAGTCTGAAGCCTGAGCCAGGACAGGCCATTCATATGGAAAAGCTGAAAAGCCACTGCAAATAGCTTGGGTGGAGCTGCAAATTGGGTGGGGCAGGATCTCAGGGAATCACCATGGCGAAGGGAACGATGTGAGCCAGGCTGATGAAAACTCAGATATGGCACTTGCCAGTCAGCTCTGTGATGGGGGAGGTCTCAGCATAGGAACAGTGACCTCTGCCAGCACTTTTGTCGAGAATGCTGCCCCCCAAGTTCTTGCTCCAGTGCCAGACAATCCAGTTCTTCCCAGTATGTACCTGGATTCCTCCCAAGCCACTGCCCCAGCGCTGGCTCTCAGAGAGAGCTAGACCAAGTAAGTCTGTGCACTGCCCCTTTAAAAGGAACTACTGTGACTCCAGCAGCCTCTGTGGTGCTCAGCCACAATCCCTGCTCATTTTTACAGCCCAAAGTTACGGGGAACTTCTCTTCCCAGCACTGGAACCCTGTGCTAAAAGGTCTGGTGTGGGGCTGGGATCACTGGCTTCTCCCAGGAAGCCTCCGCATCCCAGATATCCCTTCGATTAAAAAAAGTCACACATGGTTGTCGGACCAGCCCTTTCGCACTGCTACCCCTCCTACCAGTCTCAATGTGCTTTTTTTTCTTTAATTGTCTAGTTTTAGGACTTCCATTCAGCTAGATTTCAGGCAGTGCTGAATGATGGTTGTTCTGTATTTTCATTGTAATTTTGATATGGTTGTGGGAGGCAGTGAGTACCGGTGTTTACCTATGCCCCCATCTTGATTCTCCTGTTCCAATTCTTATTTTAATTTTTTCTGTTCTCTGTTGTATTGTTTAGTCAAGATCTGTACTGCTGTGTTGAACAGTCCCAATAACATCACAGCTAGTATACTTGCCTTGTTCCATTAAGTCTGATGTTTGCTGTTGTTTTTGTCAAGCTAGGAAAATTCCCTTCATTACCTTTTAATACTCATATTCAGAGTTTCTGTTATAATTTGTTGTATTTATTAAAAGCTTTCATTGCATCTGTTGAATAGAAAAGTTCACAATATTTTTTTTCACTCTTTAATGTGGTGAATAACTGATGGGTTTTCTGATGTTGAACCATCTTTACATTCCTGTGATGAACCCTAATTGATTGCAATAGATCCCTGTTTTTATACAGTATTGGAATCAGTTGGTCAATATTTTATTTAGGATCTTGCATTTAACAGTGTTGGCCTATAATTTCTTTTTATGCACTTTTATCCAGTTATGGTAGCAATGTTCTATTAGTCTCATAAAATGACCTGGATAGCTTTCCTTTTTTCACTCTGTATTTTTCTAGAAAAATTGTATAAAGTAAATATATGCTCTTGAAAATTAGATTGAACGTGGTAGAACCATCAGAGCGCTATAGTGAGTAGGGAAATATTTTGATTGCCATTTCAATTTATTTATTGGTTTTCTCTTCTGTGTGTTTTATATGTTTCTAAAAGTTTATGAACTTCATCTAGGATTTGGAATGTTTCCCTTTCTCTGCCCTTAAAACTATTTTAATAATCTTTTTGAAGAAATAGTGATTACTTTTGTCAATGATTGAAGTACTTGTGAGCTATTTTATTGGTTTCTTCTTGATTGAGGGATTTGGGTGTTGGCTTTTTCTAGCTTCTTGAATGTTTAGCTCATATTTATGTATATTTAGTTATAAATGTCTCTCTAAGTATGTTTTTGCTGTATCTCACAGTTTTAGACATGTAGTGCTTTCATTGGTCAGCAATACTTTGTGATTTCTTTAACATGGGATACTTCTTGTTTCTAGTTTCCAGACATGGGTTTATTTTTTTTTAAATAATTTTTTATTGTTGAAAGTATTACATATGTCCCCTTTTTCCCCCCATTGACCCCCTTCAGCCTGCCCCTGCCCTCCCCCACCCCAGGCCTTCAGCACCCTATTGTCTGAGTCCATGGGACATGCATATATGCATACAAGGTCTTTGGTTCATTACCTCCCACCCCCCCCCCCCCCCCCCCCCCCCCCCCCCACCTGCAAGCCCTCAAAATTGCGTTTTTTAGCTCTATATCGTCCATTTCTGTCATGTTTTTTTGTCTCCGCATTTTTTATGCTTTCTTGGTGCACCCTCTAGTGGTCTTTGTGCGCAGTCTTGTTCTAGTTGAGCCTTGATTGTTGTAGTTAATACTAGAGGGATTTGACCACCAGGCCGACTGGCTGTGTGAATCAGCTGTGTCTGCCGCGGAAAACTTCTGTCCTCTGGGGAGGTGCTAATCTAGCCTTTGCCTGAGGCGATCTGTCAGCCTGATTCTTGATTGTTTTTAGGTGACCTGTCTTTGTAAAAAATATTTGACATTTTCAGTTTTGCTAAACTACATCCTGTTCTGATTTTTTCATGCATTTCTTTACCTCTATTATATTTATTTGTTTTTCTGGAAAATATTGACACTACACAACAGTACTCTAAATCAGCTTTCTTCTTAGTAATGTGTACCAGGGGTGAGGAGCTCAACACTTCCATCCTGTAGCTATTATTTCCCTATACTCTGTCTTTCCCCACCCCCACCTTCCAACCCCCATCTCAGGGAATCTCAGACACCTTGCAGCAGGCACACTGCTCCAGATCTGTCATCCATGTAACTCTGGCAGCCCACAGGATGAAGAGGGATAGCTAGCCTGCTGACATTTCTTCATATCAGTATCATGTCCCATGCTGCCCAGCAGATACCCGCTGTCTCCAGCTGTCACTGGTACTGCTGCTTTCCTGCCCTGGAATAGTAACCATTGCAGTGGGTTGGAGAGAGAGAAAAGAACACAATTGGGAAGTTCTTCCTTAATCTAACCCTTTATGTGCCACTTGCCTATCTCTGCTATATGCACTCATTTTTTTTCCATACTGGCACTGTGTCACCTTCTGCTTCCTAGGGATTTCTCATAGCTTTTATGTTAGGTTCTGGAATCTAGCAATTCCCTCTTACATATTATCCCCCTGGGTTAGAGTAGCAGGAGGTAGGGCACATGATTTTGTGTCCCCTCGGATTTTATCTCATGCTATGGTATACATTCATGCCTTTTATTAGCCAATAAAACACTTATAATCCAATGATTTAGATATAAAGTAAATTAAATGTTGTGTTCTTTCTCCTCTAGTATTTTATTATAAGCTTGGAGTCATGAGCAAATTAATTGTTCTAGTTTTCCCATCATCTATCTGTTTGAAGAATGTATTTCTTTTAAAGAATGTATGCTCTTGAGAGAATTAAATTTGACTCCAAATATGCTTTTTACTTGTGAGTCTACGTAATATGCTAGAGTTGACTTTTCATAAAGATGGTTTTTTTCTTTTTTTCTTGTCATTTAGAGTGAAGATGAAATCAGGACACTGAAACAGAAAAAAAGTAAGTGCTAGTGTTAATGACTCAACTTCTGAATGCCTTTTAAAAAGGCCTTGACCTGGTAAGGACAAATAAATATGTTTTATGTTCAAAACCTGTGAGAATGTTTTGGAATTGTCTGTGCAACTAAAACCTTAGTTCAGTTTGTCTTTATTGAGTGCTAATACACCATTCACTTTGCCCACTCGGTGCTCTCAGTGTGGTAGCGGGTGGCAGGCACACAGAGTGTTCCAGTACAGGGAAGGGAAGGTAGCAATAAGGACAGAAGTAGAATCTGTCCATCCAATATGTAGTGCATAATAGGTTCTTGGTAATTAAGGAGTAAATGCTGTGGGGATACTTAGTCTTATAGAGGGTAGGAGTCCAAAAGCCTTTCTGCAGGTACTGATGCCTATATCAATTAATTTAATTCTTACAATAGCCCTGAAGTAACATACCTCTAGATGGACTGTTATTTTCCCCCTTTACAGATGAGGAGACATGGATTCAGGCAAAGAAAAAGGGAAGGATATTCTTTGCAGAGGTAGAGTGGCTTGAAACAGGGTGCCAGATTTGAGGAACTACATTCATTTTGTTGTTGGAGCTTCTAAAACCCATGATGGTTAGAAATGAACTCAGGGGGACCACAGGGGCCAGGACTTGCAGGGTTGTGTATATGACTGTAGGCAGGACACTTCACTGCAGGGCCATCCAAATATGAAGAAATTAGGCTAATTTGGAAAAACTATCCCAGTTGTACTGTGTTGGGTTGGCATTGTACAGAAATTAACAGCCATATTGGTCTAGAAACGTTCAACATAATTTTTTCCATTTGTACAGGGGTAACACCCTGTATTAAATATGTAAGGTCTTAATCTACATGGGTTTGATTACAGAAACTAATTAAGTATTCTCTAAATAATGAAAAAAAAAGAAATTAGGCTAAGATTTCTAATAGTCTAGTATTAGCCCTGGAAATTATATGAACATACTTTACATTACATTAGTTTTTGTTTTGTTTTTTTTAATATATTTTATTGATTTTTTACAGAGAACTACATTAGTTTTTATAGGTGTCTCATCTCCCATATATAAGTATAGCAATAAAAACAGTATCAGTATGAACCTTGGAGCCAGACAAACTTGGATTTCAAGTTCACCTCTTTTTTTTTTTTTTAAATCCTCACCTGAGGATGTTTTTACTGATTTGGGGGAGCAGGAAGGGGGAAGAAGAGAGAAACATCAATGTGAGAGAGAGACATTGATTGGTTGCCTTCTGTACGTACCCGACTGGGGATCAAACCCACAACCTTTTGGTGTGGGGGACAATGCTCCAACCAATGAGCCACCCAGCTAGGGCTCATCTCCATCTTTCTAACTGCATCTATGGCCTTGAGCGGTTATTTACTATCATTTGTCAAATGGGGTTGATACCATCTGCCTATAGAGGGAGTAATGGGAAACATAGAATGTCAGCACAGTATGTCATAAATATTCTCTTCCCCTTCCTTTTTCTGAGGGCACATACTGTCTTATTACTTAATATGTGATGTACCTTAAGTTTTTAAAATATATCTCTGTTCACAGTGTTTGTCTTCCCCACTAGAGTGTAATCTCTGTCCTAGTCTGTGGTCCAGTAGGTGTTCTGTGAATGTTGAATAAATGAGTTAGTGGATTTTAAGTATTTAAAAAATCAAGAATGCATTTTTTGTTTGTATGGTTCCTCATAAGCCTGTTTTTAAAATTCTTTGTTTTCCAGTTGACGAAACTTCTGAACAGGAACAAAAACATAAAGAGATCAACAACACCAATGCTCAGAACTCCAATACAGAAGGGGGTGAAGAACAGGATGAAGACATTTTACCTTTAACCCTTGAGGAGAAGGAAAACAAAGAATACTTAAAATCTTTATTTGAAATTTTGATTCTTATGGGAAAAGAAAACATATCTCTGATGGACATGAAGCTGATGAAATCCCAGAAGGTCTCTTTACTCCTGATAACTTTCAGGCACTGTTGGAGTGCCGAATAAATTCTGGTGAAGAGGTTCTGAGAAAGCGCTTTGAGACAACAGCAGTCAACACACTGTTCTGTTCAAAAGCACAGCAGAAACAGATGCTAGAGATCTGTGAGAGCTGCATTCGGGAAGAAACGCTCAGGGAAGTGAGAGACTCTCACTTCTTTTCGATTATCACTGACGACGTAGTGGACATAGCAGGGGAAGAGCACCTGCCTGTGTTGGTGAGGTTTGTTGACGAAGCTCATAACCTGCGAGAGGAATTTGTGGGTTTCCTGCCTTATGAAGCTGATGCCGAAATTTTGGCTATGAAATTTCACACTACGATAACTGAGAAGTGGGGATTAAACATGGAATATTGTCGTGGCCAGGCTTACATTGTGTCCAGTGGATTTTCTTCCAAAATGAAAGTTGTTGCTTCTAGACTTTTGGAGAAATATCCCCAAGCTGTCTACACACTCTGCTCTTCCTGTGCCTTAAATATGTGGTTGGCAAAATCGGTGCCTGTTATGGGAGTGTCTGTTGCGTTAGGAACAATTGAGGAAGTTTGTTCTTTTTTCCATCGATCACCACAACTGCTTTTAGAGCTTGACAATGTAATTTCTGTCCTCTTTCAGAACAATGAAGAAAGGGGTAAAGAACTGAAGGAAATTTGCCATTCTCAGTGGACAGGCAGGCATGATGCTTTTGAAATTTTAGTGGACCTCCTACAAGCACTTGTTTTATGTTTAGATGGTATAAATAATGATACAAATATTAGATGGAATAACTGTATAGCAGGCCGAGCATTTGTACTCTGTAGTGCAGTAACAGATTTTGATTT